AAATGGTGCAGCTGCTATGAACTACAGTTTCACAGTTATTCAGAAAGGTAAACATATATTTATATATGACTGAGCAATTCTATTCCTAGATGTATAGCCAAAAGAATTGAAAATAAGGATTCAAACAAATAATTGTATGCTAATGTTCATTGCAATATTACTCACAAGAGCTAAAAGGTGGAACCAACTCAGGTCCATCAACAAATAGATAAACAAAAGTATGGTAGGTGCATACAATGAATTATTGTTTTGCCATTTCAGGAATGAAATTCTTACACATGATATAACATGGATAAAACCTTGAAAACAGCATGGTATTAGGTTTATAATCTAGTATACAATTAATTGGTAAGGATGTGGACAAAAGAGAACCTTGGTAAATAGCTGGTGAGAATGTAAACTAGTATAACCATTATGGAAAACAGTATAAAAGTTCCTCTAAAAACTAAAAATAGTAAACCATATAAACCAATAATACCACTATTGGGAAAATTAAAAAAATATTTTGAACCAAATGAAAATGACAAAGTTATGGAAAGGGGCTGTGATGGTGATTGCAAAGCACTATGAGTTTACTTGGAGCCAATAAACTAGTTTAAAATGTTTTTAAAAAGTGGTTTAAAATGAGTTGGTGCAGTGGCATACACTTATAATCCTAGTGACTCAGGAGGCTAAGGCAGGAGGATTTCAAATTTGAGGCCAGATTTGCAAACTCAGCAAGACTCTGTGTTAAAATTAAAAGAAATAAAATAAAAAGGACTGAGATGTAGTTCAGTGGGTAAAGTGACTGGCTTAAATCCCCAGTTTTACAAATGAATGAATGAACAAAAAAAGAGACAAACAAAAAGTTTAGAATAAACTGGGCATGGTGTTTGCACATCTGTAGTCTAATTACTTGGGAGGCTGAGGAAGGCTGATTCAAAGGAAGTGAAATCATTATGTCAAAGAGATATATGCATCCCTGTTTACTGAACCATTATTCACAATAACCAAGATATAGAATCAATCTAAGTGTCTATGTATAAATGAATGAATAAAGAAAATGTGGTATATATACACAGTGGAATACTATTCAGCTTAAAAATGAAGGAAATCCTGGTATTTGTGACAACATGAATAAACCTGAGGGACATTAAGTTAGGCACAGAAAGACAAATTCAATGTGATCTTACTTATTTTTGAAATCTAAAAAAGTCAAAGAACTAGCCAAGAGCAATCAGACAAGAAAAAGAAATCAAAGGAATCCAAACTGAAAAGGAAAAAGTAAAATTATCTTTATTTGCAGATGGCATAATTATATATGTAGAAAATCCCAAAGATTCCACAAAAAAGTTAGAAATAAAAAATGAATTCAGTAAACTTATAGGATACAAAATCAAGAAACAAAATCAGCAGCATTTTATATGTAACAATGACCTAAGAAATCAAGAATCCCATTTATGAAAGACAAAAAACAACCCCCCCAAACCCACAAATACTTAGAAATAAATTTAACCAAAGAGGTAAACGATGTGAAAATTGAGAACCATAAAACATTGATGAAAGAAATTGAAGACACAAATAAATAGATATCCTGTGTTCATGGACTGAAAGACTATTGTTAAATTGTCAATTCTACCCAAAGCAATATACAGATTTAACACTATCCCTAACCAAATTCCAATGGTATTCTTCACAGAAATAGGAAATAAATCCTTAAATTTGTATGGAATCACAAGAAACCCCAAATAACCAAAGCAGTAATGGGAAAGAAAAAGAAAGTTGGAGGTATTGTACTCTGTGATTTAAAATTATATTAATAGCACACCGCCGCCAGAGATCCTGACAGAGGCCCACCCTGTGCCCACGCAGGGAGCTACCCGGCTCTGGGGTTCCTTATTCACCAAAGCGTGGCTCCACAGCTCAACATCAGGATACAAATAGGCTTGAGGCTGACACTGCCACGAAACTGGGATATCGCCACCTCTATCAAGGGACAACAATAAGGACCTGGTAAGAAGTCACCAAGGTTCCTGTGGGCCTGGCAGCACCAGAGGTTTCTCTATACTAGGGGTACTAACAGTCATCCTGTTGTAACAGGGAGTCTTGCATGGGGTTGCCTTTCTCTTGTTTCTCCTACTAACAGCCAACTTCTTATGATTACCCTCTCACTAGTCATATAATCGAATACTTCCTTATCCTTATATCCTACCTCATAAATATCTCAGCCAACTCCCCAGTCCTCCCTTCTACCATTAGAAACTGTAAACCATTATGTAAACCTATTGACTATATGGTAGAAGATAACTCATTATTTCTGATTATAGTAACAAAATGGTAAATGTAAAAATAGAAGTTAACTGATATATGGCTGCACATTGGGTACATTGAGTGCTATAAAATTATATTAATAACCTACAGTAATTCTGATGACACATTGAAAACCCAAACTTGAAATCCGCTTTTCCCATATGCTCATTCAAAAAAGGATGATAATGGCTTCTGACACCAGTTGTGTAAGGGAACCAAGAAAGCAATTTTACAAAAGCAGACACCTGTTGGGTGTCATCTAATCCAGTTCTACCTGGGGATAACATCAGATCCCACAGAGTTCAGTCTCCAAAAGTGCCACCTCCTCTTCAGATGCCAATCACAAGTCCCAGGGTATTCTACCTGTGCTTCTGACTGGCTAGAAACTGGGGTTCCCAAACCTCCCTCCTTGGTTTGATAAATTTGCTTGATTAGCTCATAGAACTCAGAGAAACATGTTTGCTGGTTTACTACATGGAAAATTACAAAGGAGTGCAGAGTTTCCATGGCATCTCTGGGCATGCCACCCTCCAGGAAGCTCCCATGTGTTCAGCTATCTAGAAACTCTTCAAACCCTGTCCTGTTGGATATTTATGGAAATTTCATTGCACAGGCATGATTGAAGCATTGTACAAATGTGATTGGACAAAGAGTCTGAACTAATACTAATGGACTAAGTGGGAAAATCCAGCAAGGCCTGTCTGTCTGGATTCTTCTTGGCTTCTTTTGCATCGTTCCTTCCTTGTGAGTACATGGCAAAATTCCTTCTGAAATGGAGGTCTTATGATCTACTCTTAGACAAAGTATGTTAAAACATTTCCTTATGGCAGACTCCTAGACAGAAAAGCCAGGGAAGATAGTTCCTTTGACCTTCCTAGGTAAACAGAAATTCTAGTGTCCACAGCCTGCCTTGGGGAGAAAAAGCAAGGTGAAAGGACGTCAGAAGGTACGTAGGGGTATGTGTGGGGTGAGGTGGGGGTTGATTTACCTTTCTGAGACCTGCTTCTGAGGTCTAAAGTAGTTCAACATTATAAAAGACATACTTGTTGTTTTAACCATTTAGGAAATAATGAAGTGCTATGGGAGCTAGCCAAAAATATTAAATAATATCACTGTAACCAAAATAGGATGGTACTGACATAAAAACAGAAACACAGGCCAATGGAACAGAATAGAGTCCAGAAATAACTACAAACATTTATGGTCAATTAATTTCGACAAGGGTGCCAAGAATACATAGGTGAAAGGAGAATCTTCCAAAAAATGGTGCTGGAAAAACTAGATTTCCACATGCAAAAGAATGAAATCAGATCTTTATTTTATTCCATACACTAAAAATCAGCTCAAAACAGACAAAAAACCCCCTTAAGTGTAAGACCTGAAACCAACTAGAAGAAATCATAGGACAATGATTTTCTGGATATCACACTAAAAGTTTAGGCTACAAAAGCAAAAATAAATAAATGGGACTACATCAAACTATAAGGCTTCTGCATAGTAAAAGAAACAATTGACAAACTAAAAAGGCAATGTATAGACTAGGAAAAAAACTTTGCAAACCACATATCTGATAAGGGATTAATATCCAAAACTTATAAAGAACTCTTAAAACTCAATAATACTAAAATAAATAACTCCCTTAAAAAATGGACAAAGGACCCAAACATATATTTTTCTGGAGAATAGCCTGTGGGTACATGAAAAGGTGGTCAACATCACTAATTATCAGGAAACACAAAACCACTACCAGATTTGTTAAAATGGCTACTATAAAAAAGAGATGATAAATGTTGGTGAGAAAACAGAGGAAAGGGAACCCTTGCACACTGTTGGGGGGAATATAGATTGGTACAGCCATTGTGGGAAAAAGCATGGAGGTTCCTAAATAAGTTAGAAACTACCACATGACTCAGTAATCCCTCTTCTGGGATAAAAATAACTACCTCATTAAGATATCTGCACTCCAAAGATTTGGAAGTCACCTAAGCATCTATATTCATGAATGAATAAAGAAAATGTATGTTTTTGTATGTATGTATATATAATGGAAATTATTCAGTCTTACAATAAAAGAAGATTCTGCATTTTGCTGCAATATGGAAGGATCTTGAGGACATTATGCTAAGTGAAATAAGCAAAAGAAAAACACTGCATGTTCTCATTTATATGTGGAATATATATGTGTGTGTTGTGTGTGTGTGTGTACTAAGAAGAATACCATGTCTAAAGCAACTGAGGGGAGAAAGTGGAAAGATATAGGTTAAAACACAAAACAGTGGATATGCAGGATGAACAAGTCTAGAGAGCTAATTAACAGGAGGACTGTAGTTTAATAAAACTGTATGGTATTTGAGATTTTAGTTTAACAATAGATTTTTAGCTGCATTTTTCTATCATATAGAAGTAACTAAGTGAAATGATGAATGTTAATTTGCTTCTCTCGTATCTCACAACATGTTGTAAATTTCAAATATACTTAATAAAAATTTTAAAAAGAGAATTGTATTTTTTAATCACAAAATCCTTAAAGAACCATTGTTCTTTGAGGAAATTACACTTTACTCTAAAATAATCCTGTTTTTGAAGACCACACTGGGTATAGAGATACTACACTGAGAAATAGTGCTTGATCACTTGGATTAGTTACATATTTTATATTTTTTCTTTATTATTAGATTCTAACTCTAACATACTTTTTTCTCAGCACTTACTTTTTTGGTCAAAGAGTCATCAGAATCAGAAGGCATTCTTGTTGATACATGAAATATTACTTCGACCGTAGAGGTAGCAAAATATGGAGTGGTCAGTCCAGTGCTTTTGTTTTTTTGTAGTCCACCCATAAAACCACAATGATTCGTAAGATTTACCTAGAAGCAATGAGACACATAAAATGAGTCAACTAAATACAATTCAAAAATACCATTGAAAATGATTCATTCACTTTACACAAACAATGGGAACAAAGTCTTTTACATGTTATCAATAAATACTAAATCTAGAACTGTAGTTGGTCCTCTGTATCTGCGTCTTCCATTTATACAGATTTAACTGACTATGCACTGAAAATATTCAGAAAAAACTGTGTCTGTACTGAACAGGTACAAACAGCTTGTCATTATTCCCTAAACAATACAGTATAACAACTATTTATGTAACATTTATATTCTATTAGGTATTATACTTATCTAGAGATTTTTTAAAGTATACAAGAGGATGTGCATTATGCAAACACTATGCTATTTTATATAAGGGTCTTGAGCATTCACAGATTTTGGTATCCAAAAGGGGTCCTGAAACCAACCTGCCAAGGATACTGAGGTACCACTGTATGAGGAAGAGCTAATCTGTTCAAGACTAGCCTATATTTTTTCTTAAGTATGAGGATTCCTAATGAGTAGGAGTTAATTAGGAAAGAAATTAACTGCTGTGCACTATGCATCTTTTGTTAGGGAACTAGGTGTTAATAGTAAATTATAAAGACTGAGGGTGAAAAACAAGTTCAGAGAGTAAAAATCAAATCTGGAAATGATTTGGGGAAGAGTTAAAACAGTAATGTCAATTTGATAGAATGATTAATTAGGAGTGTCATATTTACTCATAAAACTGGCTTCCTAGTTTTTAAAAACCAATCATAGTCCAGATCAAAAATTCAACAATGCAGAACTATACTTCAATTACATTAAAAAAAAACTACAAGGGGGACTTTAAAAAATTTTGTCTCCTGACTATACACATTAATATCAGGGTCATTGCATTGGATTGTATTGACTTCTGTGTTACAAAGAAACAAAGAAATTGTGGTCACTGGAGAAAATTAGGGAAATACAACAAAGAAAAAAGAAAGCCTAAATAATGTCTTTTTACTAGAGAAAAGCACTTATGCATATACTTTTTTTCAAAAAATATTTTTTGGTTGTCAATGGGCCTTTATTTTATTTATTTATATGCAGTGCTGAGAAATGAACCCAGTGCCTCACACATGCTAGGCAAGTGCTCTACCACTGAGCCACAACTCCAGCCCTTGTACATATACTTTTACTAGCCCTTATGCATATAGTTTTAAACAATAAAATCTGAATACCTGATACAATGGAGAATTACAAAAATAAATTCCTATATTATGTGAATTAAACATGTCTCATTATTAATTACTAATTGCTGAACATATGAAAGAAAGATTTGTTTTTATGCCATTACTATAAGATCACCTCAATTTCTTACAATTGTTTTTAAAATTTAGTTTTGGCTAGTTAGTATATTATTAAAAACTCGAAAGTATAAAAAGGTATACCAAAATATTTTCTGTATCTCTCATCTATCACTACTCAGTTCCCCTCTTAGAAAACAACTTAAGTATTCTTCCAATAGCATTCTTTGCATATATAATTAAATGTTGTGTAAGGTGGTGTATATGTACACATGAAATATGGAAATACAATGTTCTGTACCTTGCTTTTTGTATTTAAAATATCTTGAAAAATATCCCTTCTACAAAGAGCTTCATCATTTTTTTTTTTGTTTTGTTTTCATGGCTTCATGGAAGCTCATTATATTGATGTATAATAATATAACTAGTTTCCTACTTTAAGGATATTTAGGTTGTTTCCAATCTTGCTTAAGTCAATGCTTCAGTAAATTACACTGAGCATCTACCATGTCTTATTTGTGAAAATAAATAAATTTGTGTTTCCCTTGTATCCTCTCAAATATAATAATATATCAAACTTTGATCTTTGCTAATCTGATGGGTGAAAAATGGTAGCTCAGTATAGTTTTTTTTTTTTTTAAGTGAGAAAGTGATCTATTTTCATGTCAATTATCTGATTATATACAGAAGATAAAAGAAAGTCTCAATTTAGTGTTCCTTTGCTGTAAACACCTTTGTAACATTTTGCTGGTCTGTTTTTAAGTTAAATACTTGGAGATAACTGCAGATACTAACACTGATATGATTAAGAGATGAACATTTTCAATACCACAAGGATCCCCCATGTTGCCCTGTTATGTGAGCTGCATCTACTATCCCTTTCACCCTGGCTCTTCCTTAACTCCAGGAAATCACTCATTTGTTTTCCATTTCTATAACTGTCATTTCAATAATGTCTTATAAAAGGAATCATGTTGTGTGTAACCTAAGTGTTGAAGATTTTCCCATTACCTTTTTTTTTTTTTAAAGAATCTTTATTTTCTTTTTTTTTTTCCTGGCATTAAAGGAAAACACAGGGTAGGACACCTGTAAACAAATCATTGTAGTACCCCAAGTCCATAAAAATTTGTATGGGGACAATAAAAGGCCATTTTCATGAGAATGAGTTAGATGGTTGAGCTAGATACTAGGTGAGTGCTCTACAGAGCCACAACCCCAGCCGTCCTGATACCTTTCTGTTAATGAATTCAGGTTTGACTCCATTATGGAGGGAGAACATATTCCATGATTTCAATGCTCTTGAATTTGTTCAGGTTTGTTTTATGGCCTAGGAAATTGTCTATCTTGATATGTCCTATGGGCACTTGAAAAGAATGTGAATCATTGTGTTGTTGGGTGAAGGGCTCTAAAATTGTAGAGTAGATCCTGATGGCTGATGGTATTAAATTCTTCCATACACTTGCTGATTTTCCATCAAGTTCTCTCAATTGCTGAGAGGGGGAATATAATTGTGGATCTGTCTATTCTTCAGCTTCTGCTTCACATCTTTTATAGTTCTGTTGTTTGATGCATATACATTTAGGATTGCTCTGTCTTCTTCGTGGACTGATCGTTGCATAAATTATATAATGTCCCTGTGTCCCTGGTCATTTTCTTTGCTCTACAATCTACCTTTTCCAGTATTAATATAGCAAATCTAACTTCCCTTTGATTGCATAACTTTTCCCATCCTCTTACTTTCTGCCAGATTCCACTATTACATTTAAAGTTTCTTTTAGATAACACATGGGTGAGTCATACTTTTTAATCCATTCTGCCAATCTCCGTCTTTTAATTTGTTCTTTAGAGCATTTATATTTCACATAATTATTAATAGAGTAGGGCTTATGCCTAAAATTATTATTTTTTTGTTTTCTAGGTTTTATTTTATTTTTTCTGACTCCTATGGGTTACTTAAACATTTTCTAGAATTCTATTTTTATTTATCTATCACTTTTTTGGAGTATTCTTTTTTGAATACTATTTAATGGTTGGTTGCCCTAGGTCATGTGTGTGTGTGTGTGTGTATATGATATGTCCTGTGGGCACTTGAAAAGAATGTGGATCATTGTGTATATGTATGTGTGTATGTGTGTGTGTGTGTGTGTGTATATATATATATATATATAAAGTCATCACAGTCTATCAATATACCTACTTGAGTATAGTAACCCTAACTTAATGTATTTCCCTGTACCCTCCCCACTGTTTGTAATATAACTGTCATAAATATTTCCTCTCTATATATTTAGAAACACATCAGATTGTGTTATAATTTTTTGCTTCCACCGTCAAACATAATTAGGAAAACTTCAGAGAAGAAGGAAAGTATAATATTTACCCTTAATTTTTCTTTTCATGCTCTCTTCCTTCCTTTACCACACTCCCTTTCTGTTAACAGAACTTGTTTCAGTGATTGTTTCAGGGTAAAACTTAATGGTAACAAGTTCTCTTTCATCTGAGAGTGTTTTTTCCCTCAAAGGATATTTTTGCTAGTTATATTCTGAGTTGACATTTTTCTTTCAGCACTTGAAAAAATACTATGTCACTTCCTAGTGTTCTGATTCTGATGAGAAATTTGCTATCATTCTAGTTGTTTTTGTTTACCCCCTTAAAACAGGTCTACTTTTTTCTCTGCTCAAGACTTTTGTTTTTGTCTTTAGTTTTTATAATGATGAGTCTTAGTATGAATTTCTTTTGGTTTATCCTGTTTGGGTTTCTCCTAGTACTTTTAGGTTTCTTATAAAATTTGGGAAGTTTTCAGCCATTATTTCTTCAAGCACTTTTTCAGACCTAGCTTCTCTTTTCTTCTGGGACTCAGAGTATAAGAAGGTTAGATCTTTTAGTACAGTCTCACAGGTCCCTAAAGTTGTCCATTGTTTTTAGGTCCGTTTTGTCTCTGATGTTCAGGTTGATTTCTACTGTTTTATTATCTTCCAGTTTACTGATTCTTCTGTACCCCCATTCGCATTCTACTCTGTTGCTGGGCCCAGCTAATAAACTTTCTGTTTCAGTTATTATACATTCAGCTCTAAAGTTTCCATTTGGCTGTTTATTGTATTTTGTATTTCTCTGTTGATATTTTCTATTTTTCATTTGTTTGAACTGTGCTCCTAATTGCTCAAGGAAGCATTTCTGTATAGTTGCTTAAAAATTTTTGTTATCTTGGTGTGGGCATCTACTGACTTCTTAAATTTTGTTTGAGATCTCTCTGGTTCTTTGTATACTGAATGATTTTGAATAAAAATGGGATATTTTCATGTTATGAGACTCTAAGTCTTAAAATGACATAGCTGGTAGTTTCCTAACACTGCTCCAGCAGGGAAAAGAGTTGGGAAGAGGGACAAGGTGTTGCCTCATTATTGCCAGGTAAAGGTAGGAATATAGGTTTCCACTAAACCTCCACTGATACCTGCAAAGGGAGAGAGAGCCTCATTACTGCTAGGCGGAGGAAGGATTCTGGTTTCTTATGTTATGTCCACTGATATAGTGGTAGGGTGGCCTAATTACTATTGGGTTATAGGGAAAGTCTTAACTCTCCACCGACCTCCTCTAATACTATCCCAGTTAGCAGGGTAAGAGGGTCTCATTACTGCTGATTGGAAATAGAATTCCAGGTTTCCTAACTGGACATGGTGGCACATGCTGGTTAAACCCAGTGGCTCGGGAAGCTGAGGCAGGAGGATTGCGAGTTCAAAGCTACCCTCAGCAACTTAGTAAGTCCCTAAGCAACTCAGCAAGACCCTGTCTCTAAATAAAATACACAAAAAGGGTTGACACGTGGCTCAGTGTTTGAATGCCCCTGGGTTCCATCCCCAATACTAAAAAGAATTCCAGGTTTCCTATGTAGTTTCCACTGAAGTATGGGTGTATACATAAGGGATCATTACCAACTGGTGGAGATTGTCTTTCTTCTTGGCCTTCTCTGACACTTCCCCAGTGTAGTGTTGCTGGCACTTCATTATTGCCTCATGAAGGTGGAAGTCTAGACTCCCTATTTGGCCTTTGTTGTAAGGGGTGGGGATGAAGTCAAGGTATTTTCTGAAGTATTTGGCTGGAGTATACCAATTACTTTCTAATTTTTAAAAAATATGTGCCTTTTAGATAGGTTGCTCCTTTAGCTTTTTTTTGGGGGGGGGGGGGGGGTCATTTTTGCCTAATGATTTTTGGTGGGGAGGGGTACTGGGAATTGAATTTAGAGGCACTCAACCACTGAGCCACATCCCTAGCCCTATTTTGTATTTTATTTACAGACAGGGTCTCACTGAGCTGCTTAGTGCCTCGCTGTTGATGAGGTTGGTTTTGAACTTGTGATCCTCTTGCTTCAGCCTCCAGAGCCACTGGGATTACAGACATCTGGGCCTAGCTTCTAATGATGTTTTTCAGTTACCAAAACATCTTCAGTTCCAAGTCTTGTATATATGTGAGGGAAAAAAAGGAAACGTGGAAAATTCATCATTATGCATTCCTCAGTCCCAAAGTCCATAGCTGTTCTGCTTTCTCTCTACCTTTCAATCTCATATTAGTTTTGTAAGTAATATCGAGGGTTTTTGTTGTGCTCAGCATGAAAATAGGGACTGTACATGTATTCAAACAATCTAAAAAAGAAGATCCCTTTGTACAAATTTGATGGGACTTTAGTACATTCACAGACAAGTACAACCTACAGATACTGTGGATATCACATATAAATCGATCAAATAAGGAGTCTTGGTGACTGTTGTTTTCACTTAGAATTGTTTTTAAGGTACATTCTTGTTGTAGCACTTATCAGTATCCATTTCTTTTTATGGCTGATTAATAACTTTTGTGGATATACCACATATAATTTACCCATTTATCCACTGAAGAACCTACGGGCTGTTTTCACTATTACGTTATTATGAATAATTCTGCTATAAACATATATGTACAGGTTTACATGCAGACTTGTGCTTTCATTTCTCCTCATACATATTTAGAACTGTTTAGTTATATGGAACCTTTATGTTTAATCATTTGATGAGTTGCCAGACTCTTTTCCACAAGGTTACATCATTTTATATCCCCTCTTATAGTGTATGAAAATTCAGATTGTTCTAAATCCTACCAAAAGCTATTTTTGATCCTAGCCACTTTGAAGGGTGTGAAATGATATAGCACTGTGGTTTTCATATGCACTTTTCTGATAGCCAATGATGTTGAGCATCTTTTCATGTGTTCTTTGGAGAAAGGTCTATTTGGTCCTTTGGTAATTTTTAAATTGTCTTCTAATTTTTTATTTGTCTGAGTTCTTTTTATATTCTAGACACAACTCTCTTATCAGATACATTATAATAATTATTTTCTCCAATTTTGTTGGCTGTCTTTTAACTCTGTTGAGGGTGTTCCTTGAAGTACAAAAGTTTTTATTTTGATGTTCTTATTATCTAATTTTATTTTGTACCAGGAATTGACTCAAGGAGCACTTTACCAATAAGCCATATTCCCAGCCCTTTTTTATTTTGAGACTGGGTCTTGCTAAGTTACTTAGGGCCTTGTTAAATTGCTGAGGTTGACCTTGAATTTGTGATTCTCCTGTGTCAGCTTCCCTAGCTGCTAGGAATTACAGGCATATGCTACCACAGCCAGTTTATTATCTAGTTTTTCCCTTGTTGCTTATGCTTTTAGTATGACATCCAAAAATCCTTTGTCAAAACTTGCCCTTATATTTTCTTTCAAGTGTTTTATAATTTTAGGTCTTTGGTCCATTTTGAGTCAATTTTTATATATGATGTGAGGTAAGTTCCAGCTTCATTCTTTATTTAAAAAATTTTTTTTTGTAGTTGTAGATGGACAGAATCCCTTTATTTTATTTATTTTTATGTGGTGCTGAGGATTGAACCCAGTGCCTCACATATGCTAGGCAAGTGCTCTGGTCCCAGCCCTCCAACTTCATTCTTTTGCATATGGCTATCCAGTTGTTCAGCACCATTTGTTGATAAGATGGTCTTGGCATCAACGTCAAAGATCAGTTGACTATAAATAAGTAGATTGGTTTCTGGACTGTCAATTCTATTCCATTGATCTATATGCCTACCCTCATGTTAGAACCACAGCACAATATCGTGATTTGCTTTGCTCGGTAGTGTAAGTTTTTAAATCAAAAAGTGAGTCCTACTAATTTGTTCTTTTCACGTCTCTCACTTTTACTAATACTTTTATGGCATTTTATACAGAGAACCCATTTATAATATCTTTTATACTTTTTAAAGACTTTTCAGACACATCACCTCTACTGAACTTTAAATCATCTCCATTGGGTGAGAGAATATTATTGGGGCTGGGGTTGTGGCTCAGTAGCAGAGGACTCGCCTGGCATGGGTAAGGCACTAGATTCAGTCCTCAGCACCACATAAAAATAAATAAATAAAGGTATTGTGTCCATCTACAATTAAAAAAAAAAGAATATCTACAACTAAAAAAAAAGATATTGTGTCCATCTACAACTAAAAAAAAAAAAGAATATTATTACCTGTGGTAAATGCAAAGAGGCCTCAGAACTTAGAAAATTCACTTAAAATAGCAGATCAGCCATAAAAGTGTATACTAAACACTAAAGACCAATATACCATACATGAGAAAAACAGTGGGATTAAAAAAAAAAATCAGTGAGATGAAATGTCCTTTAGAAGGTTCAAGTCTACTGCAATGGTCTTCAACAATTTTGCTTATATGTTCTCTATAAGCTTTTTAAGAAATTATTTATTAAGTTGACAACTATAATAAAAATTTCATCACAAATTTAAATGATTGCTAAAGATATAACTTACAGTGTACCTTATGTTTCACGTATATGTACCTTAAATATGTTTTTGTCAAAAATTTGAAGCTACAGATTTGGCTGATTCAATATACATAAGATGTTTGCTTTTAGCTTAATGATAAAATCATCCATATCAGATTCATTTTCTGTTAGAACATGTCTGGTGCTTCATTTTTTAATTCAAACAAGAATATCACAAACCTCTATGAAAAATACCTGGCTTCTGAGTAATAATTTTGAAATAGACAGATGTGACAGAGGAACCTTGAGTTGGTTGCCAGGACAACATAAGTGCTACACCTTTCAATATTTCTTGCCTTGCTGTCAGAGACTCTCATTTAGGAGAACACCTTCTTGAACTGGTGCCAAACCTCTCTGGGACAAAGTAGGATTTGGGGTGAGTGAGTAGTGTGCCTTCTTTTACAAAGTAAAAGAACAGAAAAAGAGAGGCAAAAGAGTACAGATAAGCCCTCTAGCATTAGTTATTAGTAAATTGAGGATCTGAAAATTAATTTCCTTGAAATTAAACATGCACATGTGCCCATAGAAAGCTCTGTACAGTCTAAAGTCTTAGTTTGAAGATCACCAATCTATTAGTCATTGTTGCAAGGAAACTCTAGATCTTCTAAACCTATGAGTTCAGTACTCTGACAAAATATTGTCTCAAAAAAACCAGTCACCACTCTGACTTTCAAAGTCCCAATTGCTACTATATTCACAGATGAGATGTAAGACAGAAACAATAATAAACCATCATTAAGTTATTGTGTCTCCTAAAATAATGACTCTAAAATAGGCTGAAAAGAAAAAGAAAAATAACCCTCTGCTTCCAAATAGCCATGGGCTACATTTGTGATTTCAAACAACAGATGGAAAATATTTTTTTAAAAATTGTATTTGTGCTGAACACTATAATACAGACTTTCTTCCTTGTCAAAATTTCTTAATACATCAGAGTTGGGGTTGTGGCTCACTGGCAGAGTGCTTGCCTAGCACATGTAAGGCACTGGGTTCACTCCTCAGCAACACATAAACATAAATAAAGGTATTGTGTCTGTCCATCTATAACTACAAATATATTTTTTAAATTTCTTAATACATCATAATAACTATTTATACAGAATTTACATTGTATTAGGCATTACGAGTAATCTAAAGATGAATTAATACAGGAGGATATGTGCATAAGCACATACTTCAATGTTTGATATAAAGGACTTGAGCATTTTTGGATTTTGGTATCCACAGGGGATGAGGGACCAATCTCCCAAGGATAACAAGGGATGACTATAAAATATTTGGTATAATTTAAAAAAATACCTCCCAACCAAGACCAGCCACAAAATCTTCATATGCTTGACTTCCTCCAGTATTGGTGAGAATGGAGTGTTTATCTTCTTGTCCTTCAGCAACATAAAATACTGCAATCTTATGTGTCTCTCTGCTGTAAAAAAAAAAAAAAAAAAGATTACATCATTCAAAAATTCATTTTTCCATTCATTCATCCAATAATTAAGTTCTATGTACAAAATATATGGCAATAAGAAAATGAAAAAAGACTTTGATCTTATAGTCTACAATAGGACAGGTAATTACAATATAAGTAAGACATCATAAAAGTGGCAAAATTGCCTTGGGAATAGAAAAAAGGCATGACTACTTCTGATTGGAGAAACAGCAACTTCTAAGGGAGAAGGGTAATACTGAGTTAGGGGAAGGTTAGAAGATTGACAAATGAAGAAAAAGAGTATAAGGAAGGACAGATAAATGTGAATGCATAAGCATGTGAAGAGTTGTATGTTGTACAATATGCTGAATCCCAGGGCTAAAAGGATTTTGTTTTAGAATTAGTAGGAATATAGAGATGAATGAGAAGTGATTAATTCTTTCAGAATACTTATAATACAAAGGAAACATATATAACTATAAAACTGTGTGGATTAATTTTCAAGTCCTTATGCATTTTTAGATCTCTATAAAAATTTCAAGGTATTCATAAAAGCAAATTTCTTATCAGCAATTTGTTTTTCCAAGCTAAGTAGGGTACACTATGCTTGGTCAATGTTGATTTATCAAAGCATGGGTTGACAACCTTTATTCCCAGAAGGTAAAGTTACCATACCATGAAGGAATTACCAAAACTCAAAACCACCACCAACAAAAAAACACCCCACAATAAACAGAAAAAAACTATAACCAATATAAGTAAATGAGAACTGAAGTCAAGGTGGGTGCACTGTATCATGTCTGAAATCCCAGCTACTAGGGAGGCTGAGACAGGAAGATCAAAACTTTGAAGCCAGTTTCAATATAAAAAAATACAAAGGGCTAAGAAGGTAGAGCAGTGGGGTACAGTGCTTGCCTAGCATACATAAGGTCCTGGGTTCAATCTCTAGTACTGGTAACAGTTTAGTCTGACAACCAAATTCTGCCATGCATCTTAAGGAAGTTGCCAATCATGATTGTGGGTTTCAATATCAGCAACAAAGAGGTTTCAGTGCTTTCAATAATAGCAGTATTTTACTTAGGCTGGTAAATACAAACGCAAACTTTTAGTATGCCTGATGCATCATTAGGATAATTAGTATAAGCAGTAAACTATAATTTGGCAAGGCAAAGGACCTCCCAAAACCACAGAGTATAGATCTGGGCGGTCACTTTCCCAAGTAAAACACAATTTAACTACTGAAAAATGATTCTTAAAAAATCATTCAAAGTCTCTGGATATGTCCTAAAGGCATATAGCAAATGGGGAAATATTCATTAAAGAAAATATATTAAGGGGCTGGGGATGTGGCTCAAGTGGTAGCGCCCTCGCCTGGCATGTGTGCAGCCCAGGTTCGATCCTCAGCACCACATACAAATAAAGATGTTGTATCTGCCAAAAACTAAAAAATAAATATTAAAAATTCTCTCTCTCTCTCTCTCTCTCTCTTTAAAAAAAAAAAAGAAAATATATTAAATCTTGCGAAGAACAGTTTTTGACACATGAGCCACAACTTGTTCCCTTAACCCACCCCCTTGGCTCCATATTAGAAGTTTTGCCCTAGGCATTCTACTCATGTCTAGAAGACAGAGATATCCTCTTCTCCTTCAGATCCTAGTCTGAGCCTATGGTTTTACTATGGAAAATGTAGGTTCCTAGTGGCATTTCTCATGTTTGCCTAGCTCTGTGTTACAGAAGTTCTTCAAGGGTGGATGAGTGGATCACATAGACTACCCTTTACTCAATCAGTTCCCTTTCTTAGAACAGAAGCTTCAGGTGCTCCAGGTTGAACTTTCTAACATTCTCCATTCTAGCTTGCTAGGTGCATGTATAGATTTTGCTAGGAGAAATAAGTTAAGAAGAACAGTGACTGCCAAACTCTCGCAAGATCTCAATTATAGAGCAAAGGTGTCACTCTGGGAAAAGCCAGTTGCTGACCCTGGCTCAGGTGTGATAGAAGGTAGGTATCTAGGATAAAAGGCAGGTCATAAAGGCAAAGAACTTAGCAGTAGTTCCGCCTGAAAGGAATGACTTTCAGGCAGAACTACTGCTAAGTTGACACAACTTGGAATAAAGCAATTAAGAGAAGCTAGCAGCTTGATGACAAGAACAAAACAGCAAAGCAGCCAGAAGTTTAATAAAGAGGAAGAGGGAAAGACACAGCAAAGAAGAGCCTTTCTGGGATCAATTCTGCAGGTCAAAATCTTGTGCACAGGTACCATACTATGTCCAATCAGGAGCAATTAAGAGTAAGGTATACAACATTTCCAAAGTGACACAGAGACCTATCAAACTAGGAAAAGCCTCAACGGCACTGAGTAATACTCTCAGGGTAGAAGCCTAGGAAGTGAAGACTTAAAAATAACATCTGGTCATTCCTGGTAGTCTGGAAGTCTATGTGCAGGGCCCAAGGCTATATTCCTTTTGGAATAATTAGTGAACCTTCACGCTATTAGTCTGTGGGTGAAGGTGGAACAAACAATGGAAATGCTGGCTCTACTAATATCAGACTAAAGCATGAATATCAAAACAAGAGAGAAAAATCAGTGAAACCAAAATTGTTTCTTTAATATCATCAATAAATTGACAATTTTTAGCTAGATAAGAAAAAAAGACTTTACTAAAATCAAGAATGAAAGAAGGGACATCACTACATACATTACAGAAATAAATGGGTAAAGGGATACTATGAACAACTGTATGTGAACAAATCAAATGTGAGATTAAGTGGACAATTTCCTAGAAAAACACAAATTACTAAAACTGCTTGAATAAGAGAGTGAATATATGAATACATGTAACAAGACTTTGATTTAAACATTTGATTGGAAAGGAAGAAGTAAACATATCCCCATTTGCAAATAACATGATTTTATATATAGGAAATTCTAAAGAATTTACTAGAAAGATGTCTAAGCTAATAATGAGCTCACCAAGATTGGAGGATACAAACAGTATACTAACAGTAAACAAGCCAAGAAAAGGAAAAAAAATTCCTTATAACATCATCAAAAAGAATAAAATACTTAGGTATAAATTTTAAAAGCACAAAACATATTCTGAAAACTACAAAGCACTGTTGAAATAAATTAAAGATCTAAATTTTAAAAAATTCATGGATTAAAAAACTTAATACTGATAAGATGACAGTATTCTCTAAATTGATCTACAGATTCAATGCAATCCCTAATAAAATCTGAGTTATCTATTTTGTAGGAACTGACAGGCTAATAATAAAAATTCATAGGAAAATGCAACAAACCCAGAATGGACAATCTTGAAAATGAACAGAGCTAGAGCACTCATAGTTTATGATTTCAAAATTTGCTGCCGAAGAAATCAAAGCAATGTGTACTGACATATAATAAGAGCCACATATCCAAAAATAAACTCTTGTTTATGGTCAATTGTTTTTTGATAATGATACCAAAGGGGAAAAAACTCTTTTTAACAAAGGATGATGGAATAGCAGGTCTAAACCCACAAAAGTCTTAGAAGAAAATATGAGCTTGCATTAGGCAAGGTCTTATTTTTTAAAATTTATTTATTTATTCTAATATGTTATAATGACAGAAGAGTGCATTTCAATTCATAGTACACACATAGAGTACATTTTTTCATTTCTCTGATTGTACCCAAAGTAGAGTCAAACCATTCGTGTCTTCATACATGTCCCTTAGGGTAATGATGTCCATCTCATTTCCACCATCTTTCCTAACCCCATGCTCCTTCCCTTCCCCCTCCCTCCCCTTTGCCTAATCCAAAGTTCCTCCATTCCTCCCATGCTCTCCCCTAACCCCCATTATGGATCAGTGTCCACATATCAGAGAAAACATTTGGCCTTTGTTTTTTAGGGATTGGCTTCTTTCACTAAGCATGTAGACAGAATAGAGGACACAGAGGCAAGGTCTTCTTAAATACAACACAAAAGAGAAAATAAAAATTAATCAAAATTAAACATTTTTGTATTATGGATGATATTATCAAGTAAGTGAAATGACGATCTACAGAATGACAGAAAATATTTGTAAATCATATCTTACATGGAACTTGTATCCAAAAATGTATACAGAATTCTTACAGTTAAATAGTAAAAAGGTAATTTTGTATTAGTTTCCTAAGACTTCTAAAACAAATTACACAAATTAGGTGGATTTAAACAATATTTATTCTTTCATTGTTCTGGAGGCTATTAGTTAAACCAAAGTGTTGACAGTGCCATATTCCTCCAAAGGTTCCAGTAGATAATTTTTCCTTGCCACTTCTTAGCCTCTAATGGTTGTTAACAATCCTCAGCATTCCTTAGCTTGTAGTTATATCATTGCAATTTCTGCTTCTACCTTCACATGGACATCTGTCCTATATGTGCATATGTCTGTGTGTCTTCAAATGGCCTTCTTATAGACACCAGACATCAGATTAAAGGACAAATCTAATCTAGTATGACCTCATCTTAACTAATTACATCTGCAACCCTCTCTTCAAATTACAGTGAGGCTCTGGATAGACATGAAACTTTAAGGAGACACTATTCAACTCAGTGCAGATTTGAACAGACACTTTCCCAAATAAAATATATAAATGGCCAATAAGCACTAAAAAATGACATTATAACAGATACGTAAATCAAAATCACAACAAGATAACAGCTTCATATCCACTAAGATTAATATTAAAAGACAGACAACAAGTGCTCTAGGATATGAAGAATGTAGAACACGCATACCTTTTTGACGGGTATGTAAAATAGTGCAGCTACTATATCACTGGCAGTTCCTCAAAATGTTAAAAGAGTTACTATAGAATCCATCAATTATGCTCCTAGGTATATACTCAGGGAAGTGAAATATGTTCAAACCAAAAACTGTACAGGAAATGTTCACAGCAGTGTTATTTATAACATTTAAAAAGTCAAACCAATGGGGCTGGGGCTGCAGCTCAGTGGGAGAGTGTTTACC